TTTTTAACATTTTTTAAGCTAATTTTAAATTTAATACTGTTTTTTTCTTCCAAAACTAACACTTTTAGCCACGTCTATTGCCATGGCTTGACAAAAGCGCTGTGCGCGCCATGCCATGCATGGTGGCGGCGGGAGAGATGATGGCGATGATGGCGGCGACGCCGATCGATGATGTGGCGGTGGTGCCGCGCAATAATGACCACCACGCACGGCAGGACTCGGACGTGAAGCGAGGTTTACCAGCCTCAATTGCAATTGAACGGGAGCTGCTGTCGATGCGGATCGGCAGCGACGCGACCATGGACCCCGGCTTCGCGTCGCAGCTGAACGACACCTGCAGCTCCGACCCCAACGCCTTCGCCTTCCTCGACCCCCCGCTGGTGGGCTTCAGCAACGCCTTCTACCGGAACCTGCAGGTCGGCAAGGGCCTCCTGGGCTCCGACCAGGTGCTCTACTCCAACATGAGGTCGCGCAGCATGGTCGACTACTACACGTCCAACCAGGGTGCCATCTTCGGTGATTTCATGGCAGCGATGACCAAGCTCGGGAGGATCGGGGTCAAGACGCCGGCCACCGGCGGCGAGATACGCCGGGACTGCCGGTTCCCGAACTAGTTGCTAGTTAATCTCGCCGACAATGCTGCCGCGACGCATTGAAACGAATATAAAGCAAATAAATGGAGTTCGTGCGCAAGTTGACAAGTTGCCACATAATATTTTTATTGGTTCATGAGTCTGCAAGTTTCGGACGACAATATTTGTTCAATATAAGTTCGACATAACCAACTAAGTCCCAGGAGTGTAAGGATCCCTCGGACGCCTCTGTCTCTTCGAATTTATAGGCAACACATTGGGAGTGTAGCCAACGTCGGTGTGGTCGCGTTGCCGGTGTGTACGGCTCGTACCCTGTAAGTATATAATATGCACGATTACTTATAATCTTTATGATCGTTAGTTCATGGAACCTACGTATTTAAAGAAACTACCTTTGTTACTACCTATGAGGCTCCTTGGGTACCAAGCGGGGCACCACCTAGCTGACACATGACGATCTCGTCCTGCTGCCAAGGATCCCGCTGGTGGTGTTGTATGCGAAAGCCCGGGGGGTCATCGTCGTCGTCATCGCTGTCCTCGTCGTCCTTGTTTGCAGGGTCCTTCCCAGCGCTATAATATGGTGGTGTACGCGTAGCGGAAGCGGCACCTGTCACCGGCTGAGAAGAGCCGGCTGGTGTCCTCAAAGAGCCAGAAGACGTGACACCCGATCGGGCAGGGTAATTGGGTTCCACCCAAGGAGTGTCCATGCAGCTCAACTTCTGAGCTAGCTTCCTGCAGCTCCACTTCACCTTCTACATGAATAGACGTTAAAGTTAGTGCATTTTCCAAACGCATATACACTAAAGAAACATTTTCGGAATGGACAAGTTTATGTTTACCTCCACAAAAGCCTCGAGAACGCCTGGCCCCTGCCCTCTAGACTTGTGTAGCCGAAATGCTGCTTCGTTGGACAGCCTTAACAATTTTGTCGCCTGAGTATAGAAACATGGTTGAACAGTTTTAGTCCACATACTTAATACCAAATGGATAAAAAATTGTACCATTCGAGTATCTTACCATGTATGTTTGAAGCGGGGCTCTCTGTAGTTGTGTGTCGTCCCTAGTGGCAATGTTGTACACATCTTCGATCACATCTTCCTCGTCGTCCTCGTCAATCGCCTCCTCAGTGTACGGGGGCTTGATATGTGTCCTCGTAGACCTGTGAAGCCACCGTAGGTACTCGTCGAAGGTGTGCTGGTCGTGTGGGGGACCTGCATCGACTGGCTGCCGGTCCTTGGTCTGCCACAACTGGATGTACGCGTTGTGTGTCACGCGCCAATCCTTGGTCTTGTACTTCTTCCTACGGTCATACCTGCAACAAAACGATTGTTAGTTGTACCATACACACATCTGAATTGTAGCTTTGTTATTAATCGATAACGCACCCGTGCAATTCTTGGTTGGTGGAGTAAAGCGGTGGTGGGTAGCCTGTCATTCTTCCAAACTGCCTGCAAACCTTGATGGGCAAGTGAATCTCGACCACGTGGAAGAAAATAAGAGGGACGTTGCAGTGATACTCGTCTGACTCATCCCTAGTGATAGGACTCAGATAGTCCTGGTGCTCCGGAGCATCCCAAGGACACCAATGCACCTGAACATCGAACAAGACACATGTATGATAGTAAAGAGAGCGTAACCCGGTGCTGTGTCAGGATGTTGAGACAGTCCGTGCACTCCCTGTACTTGCGCCTCGCATTCCCTCTAACTAACTCTGCTTGCGTCCAGATATACCCTAAGGTGCGACGGCAGGCAACACATAGCTGTCGATATGTCCATGCCAGGACTGCGCTGCCCTAGCTGTACGCCGCTATGTTATCCCACGGCTAGCGTAGTATGTCAAGAAAGATCCAGATGATGGTGTTGCCCGAGAAGTCTAGGAATAGGAAAGCACCAAGGAAGTGCCAGAGCCACACTCTAGCGAACCTATCGATATGAGCCTCATCAGTCTGTGGGTCCAAGTAATCAAAGCGCTCTGTGATCCACGATGACGAAACACCAGAACTTTTCCTGAAATTCACCAAAGAAAATGAGACCCGATGGCTGCAGGAAAGCAATGCAAGTATTAAATAGGCTTGAATTGCTCACTTATTTTTCTTGGAAACCTCGTCGTCCGGTGCAAGAAAGCCAGTGAACTGAGCCAGTTGCTCCCTCCAGTGATCGTTGTCAACTATACCTATCACTGAAATTCCCCCCAACCGAAGGCCAAAGATAGCCTTCACGTCCTGCATGGTCAAGGTCATCTCGCCGCAAGGTAGGTAGAACGTGTGGGTCTTAGGCCTCCACCTGTTATAAGAATAGAACGACTGTTAGTTACCTCAAATTTGTTATAAGAATGTTTACGTATAAAGAAGGCACTCGCACCTGTCTACAGCTACAGTAAGTAGTGCTGGGTCAAGGGGCGGAAGACCATAGTTGACAACATGGATAAGCTCGAGGAAGCCGGCATGCCGTATGTACGACGCGTAACGCTCGTCCCATTGGTGCGCCTTGGTGTGCGTGCGGGGCCTCAAAGGAGGCAAGGGCACCTCTGCGTCGGTGTCAGTCAAGAAGTGTGCTCGGTGCGGGTCGTCGTACTCCACCTAAAGAAGGGGGTACAATTGGTGCTGCGTGGGAGGAGTCATCCTGTTACAAATTGATAAACAAAGGGTTAGAGTATTCAAATTAACAATATTCAAATTAACATTACGTAGTATTGCAAATTTTGAACTACTTGTTATGCAATAGGAACACAATATGAAAGCACATGTATATATTCAAAGTAACTTTAACAGACATATTAAACAACTTCACTATGAAAATAAGCAACTTCTATGTATGGACATGTTGCCCTCGTCTTCTATGCCTGCTAGTCTTGTGACCAGGTTCTTTGCAAACGGAGCAAAGATTCCTGCCACGGGTCTCGTTGAAGTCTCCCCCTCCGTACATGTCTTCGCCATATCATCTCATAGTGTAACCTAAACCCAAAGTCCGAACTAACAGTAACCTAAACCTTAACTACCTAACCAAACCTTAATTATACTACAACACACAACCTAAACCCTAAAAACTACCTACCTAAATAAACAAATTCACTAACCTAACTATATTAAATCACTAACCCTAACTATCCTAAATCACTAACCCTAACTAAAATAACATTCATAATAACAAGAAATCGAGAGAGGGAGCTACCTTGACAAGCGGGGACCTTTTGGGGTCACCCAAGCCGAAGGAGATGGCCGCGGCCGGCGGCGCTGGCGCTGGCGCCTCAACACTAGCGAGGCGGCGGCGCTGTCGGTCGACGGCGGAGGGGCCTGGTGTAGGTGACGCGGCGGTGGCCCCCGGCGGCGGCGGCACTGGGCGGAGGCAATGGCGGTGGCGTAGGCGGACCCTACCACGATGACTTCACGTTATCCTCCCGTCACGCCACCATGCATGGCGCGGCACAGGTGTTTAGCCACGCCATGACAATAGACGCAGCAAAAAATGTTAGTTTTGAAAAAAAAATAGTGTTAAATTTAAAATTAGTTTAAAAAAGTGTTAAAAATAAAGAAAAAATCTCCGGTGCAGGTGCAGACGTGGGAGCAGCCACTCCGCGGCAGTGCCCTCTTCTCATCTCATGATCCTGATCCACTGCACTCCCTGGCCACACAATCTCCACACAAGCTTCCTTTTCCCAGAAGAAACAAACAAGCAATTACTCGACACGACGGCAGCCATCTTGTCAATCCTTAACTGTACGAATTGAATCCTACCAAAACTTTTACCCCCACCGTTCCTCCGGCTTTTACTCTCCAGCAGTACAAAGAGCTCCAGTGGTTGATGCCTTGATGACAGAAGTTTCGGACTAACGGCCACTCAGCTAATACCAGGACTTGTTTAGATTGAAAAAAATTTCAAACTGATGAATAGTAACACTTTCGTCTTATTTGGTAAATATTGTTCAATCGTGGACCAACTAAGGTTAAAAGATTTATCTCGTGATTTCCAACTAAACTGTGCAATTAGTTATTTTTTTATCTACATTTAATGCTCCATGCAAACGGCTAAAAATTGATGTGATGGAGAGAGAGTGAAAAAACTTGAAATTTTGAGGGTATCTAAACAAGGCCCCACTATCTTTTTTTACCATTTGGGTTGCTACCAATCATATTTGCTTGTCAAACCCTAACTTAATTTTGACAGCTTTTACTTATGCTGATGAAATCTTTGGGAGCAAACCAAGTGGGCCCGAGCTCTCATCTATAAGTACGTCCGTGGCCCGGCCTCCGCGGTTCTTGCTTATCCCAGCAGCACAAGCCTGGTGCTCTCACGTCACTCCAGACACCAGTACTGCTAGCTCCTGAGACTGTCCGCGCGCGAGTCCGTCCTCTGGTTATACACCGCGGCTCTTGCTTGGTCGTCCCACTCACAGCCCAGCGATCAGCCATGGCCCGGATCTTCCTCTGCTTGGCAGCGGCATGTTGCTGCCTTGCGCTGCTTCCGCCGCCGGCGCAGGGCCGCCGTCCTGGTATGCACGATCGAGCAATGGCGCGCCGAGCTTATTTCTATGCCAACCTCCACTAGTTTCCATCTCTCTGAATACTAGTATATATATAGCTCCTGTCACCCATCCCCTCTCGCTTTTTTTTTCTTTATTTGCCTTTTCTGATGTTCATGTACCTGATGCGTGCAATGCAATGCGCTTCGTATGTTCCTGACTTGTCGTAGCATGCATGCAGTGTGGATGGTTGAGACTCGAGAGCCCTCCAGCTTCGTTGTTCATCTTGTCTGCGCTTGGTATTTCAGGTCATCTGGCGGCACCGGCAGGCGGTGGATTAGGCGGCCGCAGCAGGCTTCATCTGTTGCGTGTGTCAGAGCCACACTTTGATGCCACGGAGGTATCACTCGCACGTTCGTTCTATTTTTTTAAAGAAAAACATTCATATAAAATATGTACTACTGCATTGTTGCGCTCTAGAGCTTTGCTGACCTCTGTGGTGGTGGTACCAACGACCGTGCATGTCAGGCGGCGGAGGAGGAGCCGCAGCAGCGCGGCGTGCCGGGGAAGGCGAGGTCAGCGTGGTCACCGGCGGCGGGGAGCGTGAGGCCGGAGCTGCGGGCGGTGCCCGGGGGCCCGGACCCGCTGCACCACCACGGCGGCAGCCCCAGCAGGCGGCCGGAGACCCCGTGACCCGGCCGGCATGGCTATCTGCGCAGAGGGCCTGATGGCTCCCGGCCGCCTGCGCCTGCCTGCATGCTCACCTCGTGCGCATGGCTGCCGGCGCTGGAGCCCGTGCGCGGGGAGACTCTGTGGCCTCACTGTGGCCGCGCGTCCTCTCGCCCTGCACGTGTCCGGCTATCGAGTTGAGTTAGGCTGCGCATGGGCGTTTCGGTATACTGTATGCAGTTATGTACTACTACTACGTATATGTACAAATATGGTACTTGTTTCTTTTGTTTTCGAATTAAAATGGTACTTGTTTCGTCCCTTTGTGGAAGCGCAATTCTCACTGTGAAATTGTTCCGATTTCATCATTTGCTTATGAAACGTAGCTCGCCTGCATATGCTCGGAAGTCGGAAAGAAAAAGAAAAATAGCAAAATGCAAAACATAACCATTGGCCATTTAGTCCATTACAAAAATTTCGCGGAAAACGGAATCATGCATCTAACTTGATCAGCGTGCACAGCAGGCATGTAGCAAACCTCGCACAACTTCACAAGCAGTCAAGACTGACGGCCCGTCTGGAACGTGAAAAAAAAAATATGTACCTGCGTTTTCATAAACGGATCGGATGCGGACGGATATCATTAATATTACATTTGTTTTTATATTTCTGTCCGGATTCGAATATGAATAGTGTCAACTTTGCCAGATAGGATACGATTGGATATCGACATCATAAATATGCGATTTGAGTATTCGGATACGGATACGGTATAGGATGTTGAATATCCGGACTCGGACACAAACAGATCTCAACCCCTCTAAACGGATTCGGTCTCGAATACGGTTGGAAAATATCCGTACCGTTTTCATCCCTATTTTCATATAAAATTGATATTTCTATAAAATTCTTGTATTATTATTACTACGAAATTTCTATGTTTCAAATATGCCATCAAGAGAGGTAAAAAAAGAAAGAAAAAGAAGGCACCCTACACACGGGTGGCGAGTGTCCCAGCACGTGGGCTGCTGAATTTGGTGGGCCTATGTGGAGAGTATTCCGACAATGGGCTGGTGAACATCTAGATCGATCGGAAGAACATAATTTGGTTCTTCTAAAAAAAAGAACATGATTTAGATGGAGATAATGTATACGCATGTATAGACTTGATATACACACATCTCACATCTTTTTTTTTCTTCTAAAATACTTGATATACAAGCATGTAACCTAGGAATCAAGTGACCAACATGTCTATGCCCCCGGGTCTGCAGGCCAATCCTGGCCGATACCAACCGATACCAGCCATACCGGTATAGGCTAAATATTCAAGTAACACCTCATTTAGTGTGAAATGTTATAAACTTGTTGAACTCTATGTTGTTTTAGAAACATTTCTATGTTTTCCTAAAGTTGTATGTAAATATATCATACACCACTATTTATATGTAGCTATATCTATATATGTTATTGTTTCAATAGATGTGTAGTCACAAATCTTTTTACTAATATTTTGTTTATATATCTAAAAAATTAAAAATCATGCTTCACGTTTACTTTCGCTGTCCTATAATACAGTGCATCCTGACTTTCAAAATTTATACTAAAATATAAGGTATTCTATGTGGTGCTCATGTTCAGATTTGACAAAGTTTGTTAAAAAGAAAATCATAATTTGAGGAGAAATTCCTTAGTTGGGTCTAATCTATGGGTACATCCATTAGTTGAATATTCTCTTAAGTTACTTAAATTTGTTTGAATGCATTATATTACAAAACGGAGGTAGTAAGTCTTAAAAAAATTGGCGAAATTTCGGACGACGGTTTTCTTGGTAATTTTGAGTCTGGCGAAATTCTAATACCAAAATTGAAAAGCTAGTAAAGGGAGGCGAAGGACCAGCAACGGGAGATCGACCTGGGCTCTTTGCATGCATCCCTACAATCTGGGTTTGCTGTTACCAAACCTTGACAACGTCTGATGTTTCTTTGTCAAATTTTGGCTCAACTTTTGGTAACTCTCGCTTGCTTGCCAAATCGTTCACTACTGGAATCTCGATTTTTTCTGACGGTGCGAAAACCCACAGAAAAATTCGAATACCGTCAGAAAAATATTTTTCTGACGGTGTACCGTCAGAAAAATACCCACAGAAATATAATGACAGAAAAATCGAATTTTTCTGTGGGTTCACCGTCAGAAACAATTTTTCTGTGGGTCTCACACGCACAGAAAAATGGTTTTCGCCCAGATTAAAACTAATTTTTCTGTGTGTTAATCCACACAGAAAAAAGAAATAAACGCACAGAAAAAACATTTTTCTGTCGGTCTAGGTGAACTCACAGAAAAATTCATTTCGTCCAGATTAAAAAAGAATATTTCTGTGTAGCCAGCCTCACAGAAAAAAAGAGTTAAACGCACAAAAAAAATTATTTTAAAACAGTAGCAATAGCATATTAAAATATATATTTTCCATACAGTAATTTCTGTGCATGACAACAAGGTTTCATTCAAATAATACACAAATACAGTACTCGAAGGGACCTTGATGGGTGACCAGACAACCGATCAGTATCAAGAGTACCAAAACAAGTATCACGCCCGATGTGGCTGGGCGACAAGCAAACTTCAAATGACTGACATCAACGTTCTAAACCATCACGAGAGGACGACTAGGACACCATGATGAGCTTCACTACTGTGGCGACGGTAGCTGCTCCTGCTGCGAGTGCGGCGACGGAAAGGTGGCAGTGGTAGGCATGGTCGGCAACACTCCTGCAGCGACAAAGAAGCAAGTGTTAGGACTAAGTTCTCTAGGTTGGGACTAGGTAACTCAAAATCCAGGAAGGCGAAGAAAAACCTAAGTCAATACTGATCGAAGCTGAGCCTAATGTAGTGTATCCCTGAGAGTATGATGCTGGATAGGACGCCGGAGCTACACCTGCAAGAAAGGCGAGGTTTGTGTCAGAAAAGCATAATAAGGAAATTTAAGGAGTGAAACGCGCAAGGGACACAACTTGAGCAATAAATAACAAAGGAATACCTAGAGTCGCCGGCTAGAAGATCTGGTAGAGGTGTGCAGCAAGGCTGACCTATGACATCTTTGTTTTGACTACTATTTTTTCTTCATGTTTTTTTCTCTAAAACTGCTATGGACTACCTTCCCCTTGATACCGCAAAGGACATGACACATTCATTTGGAAAACAGAGATAGAGACAGGTATACATCTAACAGTTCGTGGTTCTTCTAATTGTCAAGGTCACACACCTCAACTAGTGAAGTGTCGACCCTAGGAACAATTAGGAAATTGTCATAACAACATGGACAAATAAAAAAAACTCAGCTACACAGCAACCAAAGATTGACAACCAGCAAAGATTTTGGGAACACTGAGTCAAACTGACAAATGACTGAGCAGCAGCTGTCTAAAGTTCGGTCACACCAAACAAGCTGCTGTCGGATGGGTCACTGCTGAAAAACTGTTGTCGGTCTCTCCTAGCAGCAAGCACGAGAAAAAGATCACGAATGAGCAGTGATTTCAAGTAAAATTTGCCAACTAGTTGCTGCAATTACTGGACGGTGAAAAAATTCAGAGGAAGCACAGCTGAAGACTGAATATCAGACTCTGAAACTTGAAACAACAATTCACACGTAACAGTACTGAAACAGATTATGTGCTACTAGACAAACAAAAGCATGCAAGCCATAAATTAAATATTCAGAACTAAAAATTGAATACAGGCAGAGTAGTGAATGAGCAATCTTTGAACTTATTGTTCTCGCGTCGCAGTAATATAAACATATTAGGAACATTGAGGCTAGTTGTACTCTATTCGCTTTACACAATTATAATAACCTTCAGTCATACTACTACACTAAAGAGTATCTCAATTCAGAGATAACATAAACAAGTGTCAGAAACAATATTTCTCAAGCAAAGCAAGTTTTTTTCATAACAAGATTTAGAGTATGAACACTCAGAGATCATGTACAACTCAAATAGTAAGTGATTTAATTACTAACTTGGAAGAAGGGAACAAAATGCTAGTGCTGCGAATGATTCTGGTGACTGGGGAGGCTGGGGTAGTGGAGTTGGAGCTGCTGCAAAGCCAACAGATCAAGATAATTCATGGGAAGTGCATGCTAAGGTGCAGGACAATCTTACATGTCACTTTCATCTTCCTTAAGCATAACTGGGTATGTCTGTTTTTTTATTAACAATGGCATACAAAAAAATAAGGACTAACGTCAAGCCAAATAACCAATAGTAGTATATACATTAATAAACATAGGAAAAAAAGTGTAATCGTATACATAAGAAATTTGGTTCACAATAGATGATTGCTTAGGTTATCTTCAGTAATACAAAAAAATGACTTATACTTTGGCTGCTCACTCAATTCTTTATACCGGTATCACAATAAAACAGTCTAGACAAATGAGAGAAAAAACTGAAACATGGAGGAAATGATATCTCAGTCATGATTCATCACTTATACCAACCTCATCATCACCCTATTGAAGACAAATGTTGAGAGAATCACACTTTGAGGTGCTACGCCAATTAGCGATTTCACAAAAAAACATCTAATTTATTGCTAAGAAATAAGGGATTTCAGCAGGATAGGCATGTAGACACATAAGCATAGTAGTATTGTCAATCTAACATACTCTTGCAAGTGAATAAAATAAGTTTCTAAACAGGCCATTTGACATTGCTAACCACCTTGCAAGTGAATCATACATATTCAAATCAGATTGTTATATGGCAATAAAATAAGCTCATATTTATCAAGTGCAAGCAGTCGGTTCTTACTACTGATTTTACAGTTGGGGTCATCAAAAGTTGAGAAATCAAGTGCCAATCTCAGACTCTGAAAAGGTTGGAACAATTTCAGGCCAATTCAAAATCAGTAAGGTATGCATTACTCAACGTTCCAGTACCATATCAAGAGATTGAACATTAGTGTCATAAATTTTAGATGCTTCAGCACAAAGAACCCTCACTAGAATCAGAGCTATGAACTTAAGCAAGACGCGGCTTGATTTCTCAACTTGGAGCATTGGCCTCAGATATCAGTTGCTCCTCGGTTGACCTTGAGCTTGGAGCATAAGAAACAAAGAGTAAGAAACAAAGTTCCAGTACCTCAACACAAGCTCAAGGTCATCAGTTCTTGGCATGCTTAATATGATATCATCATTGGCAAAGTAAGTGAGGCCTCAGCTTAACGATATGTTATTACAATTTCCATATACTCAATCATAGGTGGCTGCCAAGGCAAAAAAAATAGATAGAAGAAACTAAGATCATGTCCCATGGTTTGATGACAGTCATGAGAATCATACAGAATGCACAAAAACTAAATTGCAGCCACCTCAGAGTTTATTTTTCATGTTGCATCATTGGCCAAATAGATATCAAGAGTTTGAACATCACAGTCATATCAAGAGATTGAACATCAGTGTCATAAATTCTAGATGCTTCAGCACAAAGAACCCTCACTAGAATCAGAGCTATGGACTTAAGCAAGACGCGGCTGCCACACCATAGGGTGCTCCTCCAGCGCCTAGGGTTAAGTAAACATCATCGACCAAGGCACTTTGCTTAGTTTGTAAATTGGACTAGGCATCATCATGTGCAAAATCTAGGCGACAACACATGTGTACAACAAATAAGAGGTGCACATCACACAGATCTGAGGGCGGAACAAGACGAAAGCAAATGTAAACATGTAGATCAACAAAAATGTCGCCTAGATCTAAGTATCTAAGAACATGAACCCTAATATCAGTGGATGACAAACAAAATCCATAAATGATTCAACATAAATCACCGCACAGAGAGAGGCAGGAGATGGGGGCAGGTGAGATATACTGTCGGAGCACTGGAGGACCAACACGAATCCGCCGATGGAGGTTGACCGTATAGGTCAAGCGAGCTCAATGGGGAGGAAGAGGAGAGAGCGCACCAAACCAGAGGAGGAAGGAGAGGCGCGAAATGGGGACAGTAACCCTAGCCCAGTCCCTAGGACGACAAGATCTCCCGTGCAAGATCTGGGGGCAGCGGTGGCCGCCACGACGGTGGAAGAGAGGAGGGGGAGGCAGATCTGGGGGCGGCGGGCGGCGAAGCTCCTTGGTGTGGTAGGAGGCAGATCTGGGGGAGGAGGCGCCGCCATCCGGCCTTGCACAGGCAGCCACCGCCGTCTTCCGAGGGAAGGGAGGGGAGGAGTTGTAGTGGAGGAGGGGTTGGTGACCTCACCGATGGAGGAGGGGGTGGCCGCCGCGACGGTGGAAGAGAGGAGGGGAGGGGAGGGGCGCCGGGTGAAGAAGGGGAGGGAGGGGCACCCACCGGGAAGAAGAAGGGGGGAGGGAGGGCGCCATGGGGAGAAAGAATGGAGAGGGTGCGGATCTGCTCGGTCGTCGGCGGCGGCGACGGATCCGGATGCGCTGCTCGGGTGAAGGGTGAAGAGGGAGACGGATCCGGCGTCGGGGTGAAGGAGAGGGGCCACACCCGCCTGGTCGATGAAGAGGGAGAGGGAGGTGGGGAGGAGCGGCGGCGCTGCTCGAGGAGGGGAGGAGCCCCCGCGCTGACTCATAGAGGGAGGGGCGCGGCGCTGAAAGGAGAGAGTGAGGGAGGGGGCGCGGTCTCATCGCAGCGTGAGAGGTTGTTGTTTGGGGGCGTAGCGGCCGGATTAGGGTTTGGATTTTTCTGTGCGTGCACATTTTTTTCCGTGCGTTTTTAAAGAACCGACACAATAAATTGTATTTTTCTGTGAGTGATGATTTTTTCTGTGTGTATATTGTCACGCACAGAAAAATCATACAATTTTTCTGTGGTTTTTCATATTTTTCTGTCGGTATATTTTGGAACCGACAGAAAAATCATAATTTTTCTGTGCGTGTCGAGAAAAACGCACAGAAAAATTCATCACCCACAGAAAAAATCGAGATTCCAGTAGTGGTTGTCTAGTCAAATTCGGTAGCAAAACCAATCGGTCGGGCCCACACTCTCGGCATCGCATCTGTATATATCCCAGGAGCACAAGTCTGAAGCTCGATGCTTTTGGTTCGTCGTCGTCGTCCAAGCCCAGCCATGGCCCGGTTCTTGCTGTGCTTGGCGGCGGCGTGCTGCTGCTGCCTTGCGCTGCTCCTGCCGCCGGTGCAGGGCCGCCCTGGCCCTGGCACCCGCAGCGATCATCATCTCCTGTTCCCGGAGCCACACTTTGATGCCGCAGAGGTATCACGGCTACTTTCACGTTCTATTGTTTTTTCATGTATAAATAAAATATATATACATACTTTTTTTTTCTACGAGAAGAAATTAAGCTTCTGCAACTGTGATCTCTGCATGTGGTGGTGCAACTGACTACTGTCAGCCGACGGAGCAGCAGGGCAGCATGTCGGTAAAGGCGACGCCGTCGTGGTCACCGCCGCCGCCGCCGACGGCAGGGGGCGTCGTCACGCCGGAGCTGCGGTGGGTGCCTGGAGGCGTGAACCCGTTGCACGACCACGGCAGTACCACCAGGCAGGATGAGGAACGCACCCCACCGGCGGCAGCGGCGGCTGTGGAGGGGAGCGTCGCCAGGCCGGAGATGCGGACGGCACCTTGGGGCGCGAACCCGTTGCACAACTAGAGACCACGGAAGCACCCCACCCCGCTCTGATCTGGCTCGCCTAGCTTGTGCCGTTGTGCGCGTGACTGACGACGAGTTGAGTCGTTCAGATGTTCAGCTAGCATCGTAGTTTGAGGGCACATTTTGGATCGTGCACTATGGAATTGCAGTGGTCACCGAAACTGTTTTAACGTGCGTCATGCTTCATGTACGATACTTGTTTCATCCAGTTCGGCTGTTTTATCTCTATTCCAGTCAAATATAGTATGTATCCGAAGGCATATTTTAATTTTGAATAAACTTACTAGTTAATGAGATCTAATCTAATGATACTACCATAGCTGTATCGATCAGGTCGAACCTCGCTGGTAAGACTTTATATTAGAAATTATCGATTAGTGGTCTTGTTCATGATCAAGATATGTACTCTGTTTGTTTGCTATGACTGCATCGGTTATTTTAACCGATTTGCCTATACCCTCATGCATATAGCATATTTTGATGAATCTGTCAACATATAGATGGTTTTATAGATTCTTTGACTTTAGTTTATTATCATTATCATAGCTGCATCGATCCGATCGAACCTCACTGTTGATGATAATAGATTAGACTCAAAACTGTTTGTGGAATCATTTATATTAGACAGTCGATTTGTTCGCATGTTATACTTTTTTTATCAAACTTATCGGCTCGACGCTTTATATCAATCATGTTCCATTTAACCGATGATGCTTTCTGATGTTCCATGAGCATCGGTTATTTTTATTCGTATCATTATCATTTAATATTAGCCGATAATCCTTGATTTAAAGATCTTCGTCTCATGGATATGTTGGATATCGACTATTTAGTCGATAGCCTCATTGAATCGGTTATCTAGCCGTACATTTAGAACTGTTTGATGCAACACCGACATGTTCCACCTTAAATTACTGATAAGATTTTCTCTCCTTGTCAATTACAGGTCAAATTGACTGGCACGTCATTGGATTTTCAGAATCGGCTGATTTTGTGTCGAAGCTAAGCAGATCTCTGGTCTCGTTCCCCTCAGACTTCCAGCTTGCTGTGTGTTGATCACATCGCTACATTTTTATGTCAACGGTAGTGGTTGTAGCAGGTAACAATGTACCACTGTCTCATAGACCACATTGATGTGTCATATTATATTGTACATACCCTTCATCATCTAAGGGCACCACCTCTTTGAAGATACTCGATGGTGTTATGGAACTAGGAGAATGGCGTACGGATTTGTAGTCTAATAAAAATACATGACACAATAGTGATTATTTTTAGATAACAAGGTACTACTCCCTCCATCCTAAATTATAAGTCAATCCAACTTTCTTTGAGAGTCAAAACATCTCATATTTAACCAAATTTATATAATAAATTAATAATATTTATGATACCAAACCGTTATCATTAGATTTCTCATTAATTATATTTTATAGTATACCTATTTGATGTCATAAATCTTTATAATTTTAGTCAAATTTAAGAAAGTTAGAATGACTTATAATTTGAGGTGAAGGAAGAATTAGACTTGAGGTCAAAACTTATCCTCGTATACATCACCTCCGTTACATACTTGCATTCCTCATTTTGTAAAGGTGCAATTTGCGCGGCAAGTATCTTTACATAATAATAATAAAATATTCAACAAAAGGGTATTTGGTCTAGTGCTAGGATTCTTGGTTTGGGTCCAAGTGGTCCCAGAGTTCAATTCTTTGAATGCCCCTTTTTTGGTTAATATATATTTTAATTAATAAAAATAGAAATTTTAAACGATATAAATATATAATCATGCAATTGCCGGCATAAACGTTTATAATATATAAATAACAATAAATATGTCACAAACGTTTATAATATATAAATAACAATAAAGATGTCACAATGAAAAATAGGGCATTAGGTCTAGTGGTACTATTCTCGCTTCGGGTGTGAGAGGTCCCGAGTTTGATTTTCGGAATGCTCCATTTTTTTAATTATTAACTTTTTAATTAAAATTTCGGAAAGACAATTAGACATTTTGTGAGGCAGGTATTATACAGATAAATAATTATATAAAAGAATTTAGTCAGATCAAGGCATTTAGTCAAGTGGTATGATTCTCGCTTTGGGTGGTCTAGTGGTATGATTCTCGCTTTGGGTGCGAGAGGTCCCGAGTTCGATTCTCACAATGCCCCTTGCCGTTTATATTAACATTTTTTAAACTTAATAAAACTTCTGAACAATCCTGCGAATTTCCAGTTTGGCGTTGAAAGAAGCACTTCTTTACCTCACTCTACATATCCAAATCTACGAATTTTGCATTATAAATCAGTTAATCGCAGATTCAGTTCACGGAAAAACAGAATGGTACAACATGGTCAGACGACGAAGAAACCAAAAATCGACCGGAGGAGCAACAGGCAGGAAGAAAGAAGGGCGGCAATCTCACACACAAGCCGGCAGATCCGGAGGTCAGGTCAGGACAGGTGTCACGCGATGACGAACACCCTGAGCTCCCCCCTGTCCCCGCGGGTGACGCGCGTGTCGTCGTCGAGGTAGGTCACCTCGAACTCGCCGCTCCCGGTGTTGGACGACGGCGGCCGGAGGTTGTCCGGGATGCGGGGCACCTCCAGCGGCGGCAGCTGCGACAGGCTGCCCCTCGTCTTCACCGTCGTCTTCTCGAACGTGATCTTCACGCCCGAGGTCCCTGCACGTACGCGCACGCGGCAATCAATGGCCGCCGTCGTCAGAGTTCAGGCAGAGAGAGAAGAGAGCAGAGCAGAGCAGAGGAGGGGCGGGATTGGTGATGGTGACTGACTGACGCACCGATGATCTCGAACTTGTGCGCCAGCGTGGCCGTGGCCTCGAGCGGCGGCAGCGGCCATGGCGCGCCGAGCTCCAGCTCCACGATGTTGTCGAAGTCGCAGCTCACCACGTCGATCCGCTGGAACACCTGGCCGAGCGTGATGGGGAGGAGGCGGCCCGTGGGCGGGCCGGGCCGGCTGCCGCCGAGCGTCCGCGACGAGAACGCGCTGCTGTACAGCAGCCGCCACCGGCCCTGCAGCTTGTCGAGGTCCCTGTTCAGGTCGACGGGTCCGCCCGCCGCGGACTCGAGCTCCCGCGCCGCCGCGTCCGCGCGGTCCAGGTCCTCCTGGCTCGCCGCCAGGCCGCGGTTCAGCCCGGACACCGCGCTCTGCGCAAGTCACCGAACCCAAGCAGAACACGAGCAAACCATGTCACAAAACCGGCCAAGAAAAGAAACGCTAGGATGAGAAATGATAGTCTTATAAGTTGCTGGCTAATCACCGACCAGCAGCTTGATCTTGAGCGAGGCCACGTAGTCGGCGCCGGAGCCGGCGCCGGCGTCCGCGTAGTCCACGGGAGGCGGCGGCGCCGCGGCCGTGGCGCGGATGGACAGCTCCCGCTCCTGCCGCCGCCGCCTGGAGCTACTCCGGCTGGCACCGGGTACCCAAGGCGCGCGCTTGACGCGCGCGGGGCGAAGCGGAGCGCTGGTGGACGCGGTCGCGGCGCAGCAAGACGAGGGCGCGGCCATGGACACGGGACGGACGGGCACGTCTCTGCTTCGGAAAGGACGTGCGGTGCGGCGCACGGAGGGGAAGAGCAAACGAAAGGAATGGCTGCCGGGCCTAACCTTCGGTTGGGAACTCGCAGCAGGAATCACAGCGAGCGCGCGAGGTTTCCATGGCGTTCTTGAAGCAGCAGAAGAGAAAAAGGCGAGATTTTTTTCCTTTTCCGGATGTGAGTGCTCGTGTGGTGGGAAGAAATTTTTTTGTGGTGGGAGGGAGAGACAGCGAGTCGCCGGGTTGGGTCAGCACGCAGCAGCAGCAGCTGAGTGGAGTGGCGCAGCTGGGGACGCGTACGCCGTACGGGGTGGATGAGCTCGTGGGCGGGCGCTTTGGGCTTTGGCACATTCCTTGACCTTCTAGAATGTTCCGTCTGACACGGATATTTCCTATACGTGGCCGTTTCACGTGGCGGATACCGGAAGGAGAATTCATTTCTTTTTGAGAAATGGAAAGGTCTTTGAATTCATGAATGGAAAGGAAGAATTCGTGTACAGCACGACCACAACGCACGAATGCTGGGCCGTGGGTGAAAGTCAGATGGGCTAGGCCGTATCATATCGTGAATTATTTACTGCTGGTTGGTTTGGTGTGAGAGAAAAACACTGTTCCCGGCTGGAAATTTACGATCGTTTACGAGCAAGCGAACAGGCTGTAGGTTCATGCCCTGTTCGAGCAGGCGGCTAAAGTAGATGATCTTTGCTAAAATAAATTTTACACTTATAAAATATCATGAAAATAAAAACTTTCAGTCCTTTTCAATACAAAATACACAAGCCCGTAATCATTACAACAGCTAAAGTTGCAATGACACACAAAAAAAAAGATTCAGTCTTAAAGCTCGATAAAAAGAATGTTGGATTGCATGGCCTTAAACTATAGAGACTAGCATGTCTGGACTAGCTTTGTTAGGGTATTCACTTCTGATTAAAGCCGCAGCCGCTATGGCTTTTTAGTTCAATATATGCACTGTATATTAAACTAAAAAATCGTAGCGGCTGCGGTTTAAGGGGACATTTGTTTTGGCTGGTGCATGTTTGGCTTCGGCTCCTTCTTCCATGTTACTCCTTGTGCAGTCCTGTAGCGACAACAAAAAAGCTCCTGCACCGACACAGCCTAGAGAGAAGCCCGAAGAGCTGCGGTTTGTGTTGAGAATTATTATTTATGATCAATTAGAAAATAATTCCAAGAGGTGTCTTTTCACCCCTCTCTCTCTCTTTCACACTTGTAACTGTCCACATGGGCTTTGTATATATATGTACAACACTGTTCAATAGAATACACATACATCATTTTGCATTGTTCGATCCGTCTCGCTCTCTCTACTCTTAACAGTTTGGAGACTCTTCCGGCTTCGCTACAGTTACACTACAGTAGCGGAGCCGGAGCCCCCAGGAGCCAGACCAAACACAACCTAAATCAAAAGCGAACACACCATTGTCATCATAAAAACCAAAAACTAAAGTCATGTGTCCTATAAATAAAACCAAAAAAAAATTGAATGGTTCTATGTAGCACCCGCCAACACTAGTAATAGTAAATTTTATTTTTGGCCCCCTAATTTTAACTGATTATTAAATAAATGATTTAACAGGTGGAGGATACCGAACACATGTGAATAGCAAACCGCAAGAATTTTGCATAATGAAAAGTACTCTAATGAAAAGAGAAAAAGAGGAGCCGATGGTTTTCAAGCTTACTACAGAAATAACAAGTTTTACTCCTAGCTATTTTTTTTAGTTAGGGTCATCATGTAAAATGATTAATTTTAATAGACAAATTCATATGCTAAATTTCTTGCTGACAAGGTGCACTACATGGATTCTATTGTAAATGGCCCTTTTGTGAAAGCCCCACACAGTGTGTATAAACAGATTGGATATGAACTGATAACCACATACACGAATACAAATAGCTACAGTATTTATCAAATTTAAATTCGGATATCATACTACTTAATTATGATTTTATTTTTCATTTCAACAACTAGATATTTTTTTTACTTACGACAACGGTATATTTTTTTTCGAAATGAGTTGTAACTTGAGCATGACGCTAAAAAATAGCAAAGGAAAAAAATATAGATCTACTGTTGTTCCTACAAAAGCAATATAGTTATGTATATATGAACGGTACCACTACAAGGTAATATTTAAAATAACTAATTAGAATTATTAACAGTCGCTAAAGATTTTTTTTGACTATCCACAAATGCTATTTTTATCTAAACATTAGTATTTTTCATCTTCAATTGCGTGCAGTACTAGAGCTAACCATGCGAGATAGACAGATAGTGCGGTGTTGCACATAGGACAAGCAACAAAATTGAAAAGTTTGAGGATTGAAATGTGCTTTATTAGTTCATGGATGTAATTGAGACAAAAATCGCAAAAAGGTTGACTTTGCTAGTCCAAAAATAAATTTTGAAGAAATGGTCATTTTGAAAAGTTTAAAGACAAAAATGAACCTCAGACAATATTTGATGATCACAATGGCTATTCCACTAAAATAAATAGAGTAAATTTCACTAGTGGTTCTTGAACTTCTTCTGAGTTTTCATCCAGGTACGATACTTACAAAATTCCACATTTGGATCTCTAACCTTGTCCCGAGTTCTCCTTCCGGTCCTGGTACTTGCAATTTGCACACATGGCTCCCTAAGCATGCACTTTCAGCTCCTTAAACTTGTCCCAAGTTCTCATCTCAATCCTGGTACTTACAAAATACACTGCCAACTCCCTAAACTTGTACTACTATACCATCATGGTCCACCTCCTCTCCCATGCACCCCCACACTATGTTTCACATGTCCATTGCACCCGTGTGGCCACATCACGCTGAACCGCATTCATCCATCCATAGGGGTGTAGCACACTGGGATTGGGACATGTAATGAGGGATCAACGAGATGTGCAAACACAACCAGAATTTTGAACTTCTCCTAGTGTGGTGGGCTTCTCCTAGTGTTTTACCATTCAATTTTTAGTATAAACTTTCCCTATTAAATGTCTCCTAGTGAGGATTCCTATGTGCAAGACTAGTGGCGGTGTTTTATTACTACTTAAAAACATTAGGAGAATTCCACCATTTTGGTAGTGAAACCTAGCTTTCTAGGACCTGCCACGCCGCTTGGCTATCCATGTCATGCTTTCCCTACGCAAGTCCCGTATGATGGTACGAGCCACCACCATGGCCCTCCTCGCTTCCACTCGACTCGCTCATGCACCACACCTCATCACCACGTTGTTGTCCCCCAGCCTTGCGGCAGTTACACCAAACACTGCCATTCTCACCACCACACTCCTTCAACTCAACTCCCCTATGACGCAGGATCTCATGCTCATTCTCGTTCTCGCTATGTCCTCGCAACGGTTCCCCACCGATGGATGAGGAGGATGACTAGAGAGGGGGGGGGGGGTTGAATAGTCATTTTTAAAACTAATTATGAAGCCTAGCTAAATAAGAATGCAGAAATAAGACTAACAGTCTAGACACGACTTCACCCCAAAGCACAAGATCACTTGCACCCTAAGAAGAGATGAAAGATAAAGCTACTAAGGGTGACAAGCAATCAAGGAGCACGCCCACACAATTCTAGTAATGCTCAAACAAGAAGGCAGAACATCTAGAATTGAACAACAACAACACTAGCAAAGATCAACTACTCAAGATAAGCATACTAGTGAACAAGCTAGGAACTCTAATCTATTGAAAAGAACAACATAATGTAAATGCACAAGTAGAGAGTGGGCAAAACAACAAGGGGGATGGCACACGATATATCTCATGGTTCGGTGACTTATTGATCAGTTATTGCACATCATCATGAGTTCAAGGATCATCGCTCCTCCGCTACCTCAACTACCTCACAAGGTAGGCTCTAACATGAGCACTAGACTATGAGCTAGCCGATCACAATGCAAGGCACTCCATGAGCCTCCAATCCACTAGAGTTGCTCTGCGCTTTCCTCCATCCGGATGAGCATAAGAGCCTCGTATAAAGTTTCCTCCGTAGCTATCGCACGGGCATGAGTGAGGTAGGCATATGCAATGAGGTGAGGGCGAGGATGGTGAGGTGCCAGGTAGATGAACTAGAATGGTACAATAATGCAACTTGAGGAAGTTGAGTTTGCAATTTGCAAGTACTGGGACACCAATAAAAATTCGGGACATGTTTAAGGACCGCCAGTTAAATTTACTCAAACAAATATGAGTCTTAGAAATATTGAAGGAGGTATGCCATACATGATTCTCATATTCTTCGAATGACAAGAGAGGACAATGCAATAAAAAATTCATAAATGCTTGTTAGAATAAGTTGCATTTGTTTTGGTTGAATTCATACATAGTCGCGCATGGTGCTAGTACATTGCACATATATATGTTGATAACTAGGTTCTAGCGGACATTGATCATCATCGCCTTCCCCATCCATGATATGATGAAGAAGAGGCCTAGGCTGCAAATGCCGATGTCTATGACAGCATAGGCAAGCCACGGCGTTGTCGGCGCCACGGTGATATAGACGGCGATCATGAGCGAGAGGAGCATAGCGAGGCAGGCAACGATGGTTAGCTTTTGGTTCCACACAAGGTAGTGGAGCCTCAGAATCATGGTCTCCTGCCTTGCCCAAATGAGAAAGAAGATGACGATGACGGAGCTGCACATGGCAACGCTATTCGAGACTACAAAAATCTTGAATGCACTGTTGTGACCGTGAAGGGTGATGCCCTTGGACTGGTCGTAGCCGCCGGGCATGGTGAAGGTGGAAGAGAAGGTGACGATGCACTACTACAGATTTGGACATCACTGTCGGCCTAATCACTGCCGGATTTGTGAGAACCGGCAGTGATGTACCTTCACTGCCGGTTCTGAGCTTGAAAATGAGAAAATGATCGGGGCTGGGCTAAAACCGGCAGCGAAGGACCACATCACTGCCGGTTTGTGGGTTGCATCGGTAGTGAGTTGGCGACCACTTATCACTGCCGGTTCTAACCAATAGTGGACAGTGATTTGGTGCTATCACTGTCGGTTCGAGCCAAGAATTGACGGTGATAAAATAGCAGTACAAAAAGCTAGCGCCGTCCTCTCCTTCCTCCTCTCTTCCATCCTGAGCACAGAGGCGCGCATTTGGGACGCTCCCTCCATTGTTATGGCTGCTCTTCACCATGAAGCTAGCTCTTGGATTTGAAAGAATGGCTTGATCTTTTTGCTTTAAGGTTAGTAACAAGCATCCACTCCTTTGATTTTGTAGCTTAATTAGCATTGTTTTGATGGCTAGATTGCTTGATTCTCATTCTAGTTCTTTCTCCATTCTAGAGAGCACTTTTCTAATTGGACTTTGTGCAAATCTTCCAAGCAAATTGTGGTGAATCCATCGTCCAAAAGGTTGGTGTCTTTGAACACATTTAAAATCCTAGCTAACTACATGGTGGTCAAGATCATTGTTAGTATGTGATGCTATAATTAGTTCTTGATAAGAGTAGAGTAGATTCTTTTACAATTTTGGTGAGCAAATTAAGGCCCTGTTTGGTTGGGCTTTTGGCTTTGGCTTTTGGCCCTAAAAGCCAAAAGCCCAACCAAAGGGGCTGCTTTTGGAGGGTGCTTTTTCAGAAGCAGCTGTTTTTCCGTAGTTCATTTTTGAAAGCTGGGTTGACCCTGCTTTTGGCTTTCTGCTTTTCGAAATTGGTGGAATAAAAAGCTCTTCCATAGTTGTTTCAAGAGAGATAAAGATAAAAGGTATATTTTATACTTGTTTAACCAAACAGCTTTGAGCTTTTCTACAGCTCACAGCCCACAGCAGCTTTTCCACAGCTCACAGCCCACAGCAGCTTTTTTCCACAGCCACAGCTCAACCAAACAGGGCCTAATCCATGTGTCACCTACCAACACATTTTTTGGAGCTACATTGTTGTTCATGCTCATGTCTCCAATTTTACTCTTTTTTTAAAAAATTAGTGTCTCCATTTTTATGTGGCATTGAGTAGAATAATTGTTCTTCATTATTGTGCAATAATTATTTTTTTATGGGGCTATGATTTTCAATTTATATGGCCGGGGCTACCAATTTTAATTTTCCAATAATTAGTGTACAATAATATTTTCCAAAAATGGGGTGACTAAATTAAATAAGCGTAGAATAAATAGTACTTTCGAGCTACAATTGTTGTTCATGAAGCTCGACTTCTTATTAATTTCTCTATAATTACTGTCTCAATATTTTTTTGTGCAGAGATGGATCGAGAGTGGATGCATTTGTCCCAAATGGACAAGCGGTACATGCATGGCGTTAGCAAGTTTATCAACAATGCCAAAGCCCAAGCTAGGAATGGGAACCCTATCTTCTGCCCATGCAAAGATTGCATGAATAAAAGGAAATGGGCTCAAATTGAGTCTGTACGAATGCACTTGATTACCAGGGGGTTCATGCCAAACTATATGATATGAATTATGCATGGCAAGGTTGGTGTGAATGTTCCGCAGGAAAACGATGATAACATGGCCATGCTTGACGTAGCCATCCACGATGCTGACGAGGAACCCAATGTCAATATGGAACTATGGCCATAGTTAATGATATGTTTAGGAACACGCTAGCTGATGACACCGAGGATAACGACGGCATTTATTAGCTGCTACATAATGTAGAGACTGGATGTCTTAGTGAAAGACAACTGAGAAAGCTAGAGAAAATGAGATAAAATGGCAAAACATCATTGTATAAGAATTGTCCAGTGAACAAATTAGAAGCCGACATCATACTGTTAGAGTTCAAATCAACAAACGGATTGAGCGATAAAGGCTTCGATCAGTTGTTAGGTATAATAAGGAAAATGCTCACAGAAAAAAACGAGTTGCCAGAAAAGACATACCTGACCAAGCAAATGATCTGCCCCATCGGCCTTGAGGTTGAAAAAAATCCACGCATGTTCCAATGATTGCATATTGTACCATGGAGACGAATACAAAGACTTGGATACGTGCCCCAAGTGTGAAGCTCCACAGTACAAGGAAGGGCCATCACATGAGGGTACCAAGATCAAAGGAGGTCCTAAGAAAGTTGTTTGGTATTTCCCTATAGCTCCCCGGGTGCATAGGATGTTTTCTTTTGCAAAGTCAGCAAAGTTGTTGTGCTGGCATGACAAAGAGCGTAAGAAAGATACAATGATGAGGCACCTCGTCGATGGGAAGGACTGGAGGACAGTCAATACTATGTTCTATAAGAACATCGGTGGAGGGGTAAGGCACCTTTGGTTTAGTTTGAGCACAGATGGGATGAATCCTTTTTACTAGGTTAGAAGCAATCATAGCACGCGGCCAGTGAAGCTCTGTATATACAACCTTCCATCTTGGCTCTATAAGAATCGGTCATACCTCCAGATGCCACTACTAATACAAGGGCCAAGACAACCTGGGAATGACATCGATGTATTTCTGGAACCGGTGATCGATGAACTAGCGAAGATGTTTGAGAAGGGTGTGGAGGATGTTTGGGACGAGTACAAAAAGGAACATGTCACGATCAAGGTAGTACTTATCGCTACAGTCACCAACCTGCCAGGTCGAGGTTGCTTGTCCGAAGAGAAGACAAATGGCTATACTGGATGTGTCGAGTGCTTGGATGACATCGATGCCGTACATCTGTCAAAGAACTCAAAGATAGTTTATATGGGACACCATAGGTTCCTATCTAAGGATCATCCTTACCATAGGAACATAAAAGATTTTGACGGGACTATTGAGAAACGCTTACCTCCAAAATATCGAGACGGGCATGCGATACTTCAAGAAGTCAACAAACTGGAGGTTGTCCTTGGAAAGGGGGACAATGCAGTAGCAGCGCTTGATGGGAGTGTCTGGAAGAAAAAATCAGTTTTCTAGAAACTAGCTTACTAGCCAGTGATGAGTGTACGCCACTGTCTTGATCCCATGCACATTACTAAAAACATGTGCGGTAACACGCTTAACACCTTGATTGACACCGGGGGGACATCGAAGGATTCACTAGCCACACGTCTAGACATGCAACACCTGGGAATCAAGAAGGAGCTGCATCCCATGGCGCTAGAGGATGGCTAGTTCGAACTTCTAGTTGCATCGTGGACCTTGAAGAAGGAAGAAAAGTGTGCGCTTATTTCTTTCTTCAATGAACTCAAAGTCCCGACAGGCTACTGTGTGAACCCGAAGAGGCTAGTGAACATGAGAGAACTTAAGTTCAACTATGGCTATATGAAGGCCCATGACCGTCATGTCATTATGAGTCAGCTGCTCCCTATTGCCATGCGTGGTATCCTCCCCCCAAAGGTTGACGCCCCAATCATAAAGCTGTGCTCGTTCTTCAACACGATCTCAAAAAAGGTCATTGTTGTGTCCACGCTGTACCAGCTGCAGCGGGACATAGCCAAAACTCTTGTTAGGCTTGAGATGCATTTCCCACCAACTTACTTTGATATCTTAGTGCATCTACTCGTTCATCTTGTTGACTAAATTAGAGCCCTTGGCCCAATGTACCTATATCAGATGTTCCCTTTTGAAAGGTTAATGAAAGTTTTTAGGAGGTATGTTAGGAATAGATTCAGGCCAAAAGGGGCATGGTTGAAGGATGGTCAACGGAGGACGCCATTGAGTTCTGCACATATTATCTGGACATCAATAGGGCCGGAGTTCCAGAATCTCATCACAAGGGAAGACTAGGTGGCAAAGGAACGATCGGGAAGAAATCTTTCACAGTAGACGACCTGTTTCTTTCATATAGGCACAATTCACTATTCTCCAGCAAGCAGAGGATGTGATGCCATACATTGACGAGCATAGGCAATCGCTGCAAATTTTGTATCCGAGCAGGTTGTAGGCTTGGCTTGATAAAAAACATAAGGAGGAATTTGTCAGCTGGTTGCGATGCCGCTTGATTGGAACAACATTGGGTAATCAGCTAGATATCTTAGCCAAGGAACCTTCGAGTACATTGCTTAAGTACCAAGGGTATGAGATCAATGGATTTACATTTTATAGAAAAAAGCAAGATAGAAAGAGCACATATCAAAACAATTGTGTTCGTTTCGATGCTCACGATGAAAACGGCAATGTGCAGGTGACATACTATGGTTTCATAGAGGAGATATGGGAGCTAGACTATGGTTGGTTAAAGGCAGCTCTTTTTCACTGCCAGTGGGTCCAACTTGAGGAAATCACCACCGACAGAGAAGGGTTCACTACCATTGATCTCACCAAGACCGCATATAGAGATGACCCCTTCGTCCTTGCAAAAGACGTTATGCAAATCTTCTATGAAGGAGACAATAAGACAAAAGGAAAGCTAAAAGTAGTCCTAAAAGGAAAAAGGAAGATTGTCCGTGTCGATAGAGTAATGGACGAAGAAAACTATAGGGGCTATCAGGAAATGCCTATATTTGGGGCGAACGTACCCCTACCTATCCTTGAAGAGGGTGACAAACCTGCTTACGTCCGGCGTGATCACGCTGAGGCCCTCATTGTTGGATCCGACGAAGATAGTTAGATTATTATTAACTATGTAATCATTATTCAGACGTTGTATCAATAATTCGCACTGAATATCTAATTTATATTTTGTGCGCATCTCTGTAATTAAATTATTAACTATGTAATCAAATATTGAGATGATGTTCATAAACACTATTATTTGATAATTATAGACCATTAATTAATTATCATAAAATTAAATAATCAAGACATAAATTTTTGTCTAATTTTAGAATATAAACCTACTGCATTATTTC